GTCGTGGGCGCTGCCTCCTTCCCCCTCCTCCTCCTCTTCCTCCCCCCCCTCCTCCCCCGCATGGGAGACATGCCCCCCCACCCTGGGCATGGGCGACGCTGCCCCGCACCCCGCGGGAGCCGCCCGTATGCCCCTTTTGTTCGAGCCGCTGGGTGGGAGGTTGCAGGGGGGGAGCCCACCCCCCCTCTCCCCGCGGGTAACACCCCCCCTTCTCCTCCCCGGTGCGCCCCCTGAAAGGGGGGTCTCGGTGGGGTGAGCGTCCCTCCCCATCTTGGCTTGCTGCGGGGAAAGGGGTTTGTGCCAGAGGAGGCCTAGGGAGCCTGGGGGGAAGGGGCCTGCTATGGAGGGGGGGGTTTCCCCTCTCCTCTTGCTTTGCTTCACTGGAGAATAAAGAGGTGGCCTGGATGGGCCTGGTGGTGGCTCCCTGGACTTGCTGGGCTGTGGGGTGCAAGGGGCTTGGAGGGGGGGCACCCTAAGATCCCACTCATGCCCCTTTCTCCTCCCCAGGAGGGACTGGGGGGCTGGTTCTCAGAGGGGGTTTTACTCCCCGATGTGATTTGGGGGTCAGAACCTCACCCCTGTTTATTGTGCCCAAGGCCAGTCCCGGTCCATCCGAGTGCCCCTTGGCGTGCCCTGTGAGCTCTCCTGGCCTCCTCCATTCCAGATGGAAAAGCCTGATGTCTGTCTGCTGCACTGAATTTAACTAGGATCCCACAGCCCATGTCATCACCACCTTTTATTATTTTTTTTTAAATTTTCTTTCCTTATTTTTGTTTTCCTTTCCCGTAAAGCTACCCCTTCTCACCTCCTTCCTCCCTCTCTCTGCTCTGCAGGGCTGGGCTGCCTTCCCTGGCAGCAGCAGGCTGTGGGAACTGTGTTGCTAGCCCAGTTACCAGCCTTGTGCTTCTGCAGAACCTCAGGGAGAAGGGTGGAGAAGGGGAAGGCTTTGCCTTTCTCATAGCTGGTTGCTATGCTTCAGGCTACTGAATTTGCCAGGGCTTCTCTAGCAGGATCCACAGCACACGTTCTCCTGTTGGGGTCTGCATCCATTGCTTCCCTAGCCCTTCTGAGCCAGGCACTTGGGCTCCCCCTCAGCCAGGAAGAGCTGTGCTGGCTCTGCAGGTCATGGAGGGTAAGCTGGATTCTCTTTACCTTTGTGTGCATCAGCAGAGCTGCTAATTAGGCCCAATCTGGCTCATTCAGGCAAAGCTGTGCCGCCAGGAAGACAGCACAGATGTCCCTGTGACGGGGGCTGACCTGGCAGGGTGCTGTGCAAGGCTTTTCTGTGGCTGCGTAAACCCACCGAGACCTGTGCTGCTCCCCCCCTCCCTGTCCTGAATGGGTGCTTTTCTCCCTGCCTTTAGATTGACATTCATGTGACCTTGTGGAAATCTATCCGGGCCAAAAGGTACTCATGACCCACCCCAAATTTGGCCATATCCATTTCTTGTGCTGGGGAGGGTAGCAGCTCTGATGCTGGCTTAAACAGGGGTGGAACTGGACCCTTAGAGCTCCTACAGGGATGCTGGGGGAGCCCTGACTCCCCCCTATTGGCATTTTGCAGAGTAGGAAACTGAGGCAGAGGGAGATGAAGCAGCATGCCACAAACCCACAAGAAGGGTCTGCAGCATCTCAGGGTAACACCCAAGCCATTTAGTGCCAGTTGATTCCACCCTGAGCTGAGGTGTTTGTCCAGTGACCCCCTACCCCCAGCCGTGGGGCTTTTTAGAGTCTCCTTTCCAGAGCTGAACAACCTGCCAGCACTGGTGGAGGTTGCCCACCTTACAGATCCCCTTAGAGACACTCTCAGGGTCCTTCCAGCCTTAAGCCTCAGCTTTTTAAAATGCTTCCAGCTGCAGTGAGGCCATGTCCTTTCCCCTCCTCCCTTGTGTTTCATTGATTAAGAGTGCTAGGCCTCATTGGGGGATTTAGGAAGAGCTAATTGCAGACTGGTAATTGAAGACAGCTTGGAGTCTCTGGAAATGTCAAGGAATGAGAGACGAGCTTAGATGCTCCCGTGCATTTAAATATGCATCGTCGGCTCAGCCAGAGCCTTACTGAGGGGAGAGATGTCTGGTTTTCTCTCCCCCAGAGGACCTTGTACGGCTGCTGGGGGGAGTGGAGCAGGAGGAGCACTAACCTTACCTTGTCTGGGGGTCTTCTGCTTCCCCCAAGGCAAGGGGGGGGACACCGACACAAGTGTGAGGGTGGAATCATCAGGCAGGCTTGGCAGCTTGATGTTTTCCCCTCTCAAAAGCTGTGCACTTTAATCCAGACCCCTGTGCTGCTGCATGATACCATGGGGGTCTGGCTCAGGAGCTGGCAATGGGGCAGCAGTAAGGGGATGGATAGAGCTTGTTCCCAAACTTGTGATGGCTGCAACCCCCCAGTGCTTCCTGAGGAGCAGTGAGGGGCTGAGACCCTCTCGGGAGGGGCTGGGAATTCCCCATCACTTCCAGCTGCAGAGCCCAGCAGCCCCTGGGGCTGCAGGCGTGGGGGATTTACATGGGGTTGTGTGCTCAGAGGTATAGCAGCAGGGTCAAGTCAGGGATCCAGCACCAGAGGGCCTTGGTGGAGAATCCCAACTCTTTCCTAGTTTGAAATTCCTCCAGCAGCAACACCTCTCCTCTGCATCCCTCACAGTGGATGCCTTGTCTGCTCCACCCTACATTGCAGCAGGGGAGGCGGGCACAACCCTGCAGTGGGTTCAGCCTCTTCTGCCCCAGGAAGGTCTCCTCTTAAGCTGTGGTATCCTTCTTTTGCTTCCTAAGGGTGTGTGGGAAGCTCCCTTGGTCCCCAGTGGGTCCTCAGGATGCATAGTCACCTATGAAAATGGGGTTCTGCCCAGATCTTGTGGACCAACAGCTCTGTGGGGCTGCCCTTGCCCCACTGCTCTGCCTGTGGAGCAAACCATGCTCTGGACATGCTGGCCATGGCACTGGGGCAGGGAGGAGCAATGGGCGGCTGGAGCAGCCAGCCTGGCAAGCCGTGCCTGCTCCTGCTGGACGAACAGCGGGGAAGCTGTGCTCTTGCTATTAAGAGTTGGCAGCATCCCCCAGAGTGACTCGGAGCTGCTCTGTGGGGAGGAAACAGCTCCGGATGATGCAGACCCGGCGCCCACGTAGCTGGCGAAGGACCTGTCTCAGCCCAGCTTTCTGCGCAAGCCCTTCTCCTCTGTTCGGCTGCGAGGATGATGGATAACGTGTTCTTCAAGGCAGATGGAAGTGGGAGGTCTCTCTTCTGCTTCTGTGGGAGCTACTCGGACTCTAGCTCCACTGCATCTTTGGGCTGTCGCTGCTCTGCTGAATTAGGGATGGCTTGTGGGTGCAGGCTTCTGGTCCCCCCAGAGCTCCATGGTCACAGCTGCTGGTGGCATGTTTAGCAGGGGGGTAGATGTAGACAAAATGATCTAGGGAGATGGCAGCAAATGGCAACAATAGCATGAGGGGTCCTAAACTAAATTGGCTGATGAGGTGTTTGTAGCCAGGGAGGGGCAGAACAGCTGCCACTGGGTCTCAGCTGGGGTGGGAAGCCACAAGAGGCTTTGAGCTCTGCCTGTGCCCAGGGTAGCTCAGTGGCAGGGATGAGACTGAGGGAGGTGGGACAGCAGCCAGTTTTGTCTCTGCTGTAGCCAAAACATGGCCTGTGGCGTTGCCTGGCTGGTGAGGAGCACAGACTGGGGAGGACTCTGTGCCAAGAAGCTGGGGCAGGTGGAGAAGAGGAACCAGATGCCTTGGAGCCCTGCTGTGAGGGTTCATCCTTCTGCCACGGAGACCAGCAGAGAGGAAGGCCAGGGCTGCCTAGGCTGGGGCGTTACCTCCACTCCACTGAGAGCCGAGCATGGAGGTTACTCTATGTGTGTCCTCTGCGTCTCATGGTCCCATATCACCCTCGAGGACTGAGCTGCTTGGGGGACAGCCAGGGGCCACCAAGCTGTGCCCCGGGGCAGTTGTGGGGAGCCTGCCCTGGGGAATGAGTGCCCCTTGGGCTGCACTAGGTGCTGCTCCCTCATCAGAAGTCCTGCATTAGAGTGTAATCTGGCATTAGCGCATTAATCCAGCCCTCCCTGCTGCCCAGCCCCTGCCCTCCACAGAGTCCAGCCCAAGGTCTCAGTGTACAGCTGGGCAGGAGCAGCACCAGGACACCAGAGTGTCCCTGTGTCTGGGGAGGGCAGTGAGCAGGGAAGTAACCCAAAGTACAAAAAGCTTCCCCCCAGGTGCATCCAGGTCCTGGAGGAAGAGAATTCAAGGCCATGGTGTGTGTGTGTTATGGTGACAGTATGGCCACAGCCCCAAGCACATTGGCATGGGAGAAAGCAGCATCTTTTGGAAACATCATCGTTGATTCTTTGGAGGGGCTTCACAAGGGGTTTTGGAGACCAACTGCCTGCACCTGTGGGCTCTGGCCGAGCCACACTAAGTCACGAAGCACTTTGCAGGGAGCCAGGCTAAGGGAAGGTGGCTTCTGGAGAGAGGATGTGAGTCAGCAGCTTGGGGGTGGAGGGGCCGAGCTGAGGAGCCAGCTCAGCCATGGTGTGAATAGGAGGAAGTAGGTGGGAATTGGGAGAGCTGGAGGGGGAGTAGGGGTGGTCAGGGAGGCAGTCCTCATCTCCCGGGGTAGATGTGACCTGACTGTGCTGTGAAGGCTCTTCCCAGTGTGAGAAATGAAGCAAGTGATGATGTGGCTCTGCTAAAATAGGAAAAGGGCTACACCATCCTCCCTCTGATGCTTTACTGTGGGGCTGGGAGGTTTTGAGGCAGTTGGAGGGGTCCCCCTACCATCCTGGCAAGAGGCTGAGGCCAGAGCTCAGTCCTGCCCTCTTGCTGTCTAAGCGAAGCCAGACATAAGGATTTTTTTTTTCTAAGTAGGAAAAAAATCTTCTGCCTTTAATCACAAGGCAGCAGAAGAAGCTGCCAGACCATGCGCTCTGCTCCTGAGTTCTTCCCAGCACAGGCTGAGGCCCCTTGGGACCGTGTTTCCCCATCTCACCCTGAGCAGGGCACCTAAGGACTCCCCGAAAGGTAGGTCTGGAGCCCATGGCTGCACCAGGCCCATGCCAGCCACCTAGGACAGGTCTGCACCCAGCAGGTGTGCCCCGCTGCCAAGGACAGTGCTCCCCCCCCAATCCCCCGGGCTGGGCACCCCTGGATGGGTCCAGGGACGATGCTCTGCTGGGAGCCGTGTTGGGCTCAGCCCCGCTTGCCCATTGGCAGGATTTTGCTGCAGTCTGCTCCGAGCCGGTGGGTTTGGCGACTGAAGAAAGCAGTGCTGTGGGCGGGCTGGGTCAGACGAGGTTCTGGGGAGGGGGGAGGCTGGGTTGGGTGGGAGGTGATGCTCTGAACCCCACCTCCGGTAAAACACCACATGGGGTGGGGGGGGCTGCTCCCAATAGGGCCTGGGCATGGGAGCATCCCGAGTTGCCATGGTGACACCGGCTGCATCATCAGGCAGGCGAGAGCATTGCTGGTGCCATCCTGGATGGGTGTCCTCCACCTTCCCTCCTGGCTGCCATCCCTGGGGAGTGCAGGGCTGGTTCCTGGCTTTTAGGATGCCACTCTCTGGGCCCGAGCAGGGTGACCATTCCAGGTGAGTTCAGAGCAGAGCGAAGCAAGCCCTCAGCTGCAGCCTGTTGCACTGGGGGTGTGCGGTGGTTCTCCCTCACCCAAAAGGCAACCCCTCCCTTTCCCCAGGATGTCTGGCTTCTGATCCAGCAGGCACCCACGTTGCAGGGCCAGGAATGAGGAGGGAACAGGACTCACCTGGGCTTCCCTGGTGCAGGCACTGGCAGAAAGACAGGAGGGACAGGAGCGGGATGGCGGGGGGGGGAAATACTAGTGACCCACATCCCTTAATCCGTGTCCTGCCCTGCGTCACGCAGTTACCTAAGCCCTGAAGCAGGCTCCCCTAGCAGGGACATGGCCCCCTGCCCCAGCTCTGAGGGAGCCATCTGTGGCCAACCCCCATATTTTGCCCTTGCAAGGCCAAGCTTGAAGCAGGGGGGGTGGGTGTCTCCAGCCTGTGTGTTGGTTGCATGGGGGTAGCTACTCCTTTCCCCCTCATTTCACCTGCTGCCGTCCTTGGGGACCAGGCTGTGCAAGGCTAAGGGACACTGGAAGCAGTGACAACCACCCAGGAGGGACCCCCCACAGCTTCTGTCCCATACATGGCCTCCCTGCTGGCAGCATCAGTCCCCCCCACCCTGCAGTCTGAGCCCTCCCCAGAGGAGACACTGGCATCAGATCCCCCTCCCTTAAGCTGATTAGGGCAGCAAGGACACATCTGAGCAGATGTCACCAAGGCCATAAGAGTGACCCTAGAGGAATGCAGAGGGGGCAGTATGGAGCCTGCAGATCTGGGGGCTGCTGTGATCTCAGAGGTGCAGGGAGAGGGTCTGGGGACTGGCTACCCACTCTGTGGGCCAGATAATTGCATGGCACCCACCTACGCAGCTGGTCTGATCCCTGCCATAAGCCTGGACTCCAGTCCTGGCACCCCATATCCCGACGGGGTGGGATGGGGACCACAGCCCCAAGGAGGTGGGAGCAGGCAGAGGGAAGCCTCTGAGCCTACACCAACCACTATGGGCACCAGTGAGTCCATGAACATGTTCTTGAAGCCAGTCAAGCAGTGCTTCACTGCTCACCCCTGCATCAATATCACACGTAAGCCTGGCCCCATGGCTCAGGACCTCCCCACTGCTGGCACAGCTCAGCACAGCAGAGACATCTGCTGCCGGATTGGACCATGCTGCATCCAGTGCAATGCTCTGAGATGGTTGCACAGGGCTCTGTGGGTCATAAGAGATGTGGCTCTTGGCATCCCACATTCCCCTGAATGACGGCAGGGTGGCAGATGTCTCATCAGGCCAACTGTGTCTTCTCTTTGTCTCCAGCTGCCATACCCCCTTGCCAACCTGGGGACAGGGTATGTGGCTTCCCTGGAGGGGTCTTGCAAGAAGCCCAGAGGTATCCAGTTCTGCCCTGTCTCTTGGGGACTGTAAGAGCCAGAGGTGATGCCTGGAGAAAAGGTGATGCAGCAGGGTGGCTGCATCTTCCCCATCCCAGCCCTGCAGGTGCTCTGGCTGGGGGGGCTTCTGGGTGGCTTCCCCTCTTGCCAGCCCCCTGCAGACACAAGAGGACACGGGTCACAGCACCTCTCTGTTTTATTGAAGACCAATCCCTCCCCTCAGCCAGCGCAGAGCCAAGCACGCCCAGCTCTTCTGCATCCACTGGGCCAAAATTCTGCTTTGGAGGATGAGGAGGATCCGGGGGAGAGACCCAGGGCTGCCCCTTGGTGCCTGAGGCTCCCAGCCCTGCAGTCGTCCTTTCTCCACCTCCACCTCCCACCCAGCCTTGCCCTGAGGGATGTCCCCACCCATGGAAGGTGTCCCACCAAACCCTGCATGTGAGGTGCAAAAGCCACAGTAAAACTGGAGCGTTAAACTTGGAAGTGGGCAGCAGGACATGGGCTTGTGTGCAAGGTGTTGGGGACTGTCTCACTCTGTGGTGTGGTTCTTGGGCACTGAGGAGAGGGCTGAGTTTCAGGGGCCAGGCTCTGCTCCCTCCAGGTTCTGGCCTTGCCCTGAGGGCTGGCAGTGCCCCCTACACCTTCCCCTGGCACCTCCAACCCCAGAGCCCGGCCCCTGGCAGGAGTTAACCCTCACAGGGCACCTGCTCTCCAGACCAAGGCTTCTCCTGAGGTTTGGAGGAAGCCACCTTCAGCAGGAGGTGAAGGAGGGTGGAGCAAAGGGAGGCTTTGGAGACAAAAGGAAGGCTTTGGGGGACCAAGGAGCAGCAAGGAGGGTCCCCTTTCTCTGCCCCTGCCCAGCGGGACCTCACCTCTGGGGTCCCAGCTCCTGACTCCTCTCTGCATGGAGAGGGAAAGGCAGGCACAGGCTGGGGGGTCATGAGGTGGGCAGCATGTTGCAAAGAAAAGGGGGGAGACGGTCCCTGCCAGGAGGAGAGCCCGTGGTTTTTGCTTCCATTCACACCCTGCTTTAATTATCCACGTCCATTCCCAGGATCATGGGTCCCACCTCACCCTAAATTTAGATGGCTTCTGTCCTCCAGCCACCCCCATCAGGGAACCGACCCGCCTACCCTGCAAGCACCCCTCGCCCCCTGCCCCCCTCCTCTAAATCTAAAAAGGGGCAACCGAGAGCAGAGCATGATTCCCACCCTCCCATCCCTCCCCAGCTCCATAGCCCCATGCTGCCAGGGACAGGGAGGTCTGCCTGGTGCGGCCAAGCCTCTAATGGTAATGGTTGTTCATGTTGTTGAGGTGGGAGGCTGCCATGGCACTGAATGGTGCAGAGGGCTGGAGCCCGTGCCCAGGGTAGAGGGATGGGCTGGAGCCAGGCCAGTAGGAGAAGCCGGCTGGTGTCACCCCCGAGGTCATGAGGTTGAGTTTGGAGATGCCCGAGAAGGGCAGCGGGGCCAGGTTTCCCTGAAATTTGTAGAGGGTGTGATCGGGGGCGGCCGGCTGGCACACCTGGGCCAGCCCGTGGAAGTCGAACTTGTAGGCGTAGCGCTTGCCGTGGACCTTGGTCATGATGTTCTTGTCGTAGTAGTAGCGCAGCGCCCGGCTCAGCTTGTCGTAATTCATGTTGGGTTTGCTCTTCCGCTCGCCCCAGCGCCGCGCCACCTCGTCGGGGTCGATCAGCTTGAACTCCCCGTTCGTGCCTTCCCAGGCGATGCAGTTCAGGTTGGCTCGGTCCGAGAGCAGCTCCAGCAGGAACTGCCACAGCTGGATCTGCCCGCTGCCTGCAAGGCCAGGCCCCGGAGAGGTTAAAGCTCCCTCTCAGGGCACAAGGAGTGAGGCAGAAGGTGCCCTGGTCATCACGACCCTCTGCTATGTTGCCCCCACCACCATACCGAGGTTTTAGATACACCTCATTGCATCTTCCCTGCTCTAGAGACACAGAAGATGGTAACAAGGTCATGTCTCCTTTGCAGCATCCCTACCCCATCCTGTCCCTCAAGGAAGAGAAGGAGAGGACGCCTCTGCACCTCTGGACAAGGGTAGGAGTGGTCAGAGCTCAATGCAGGCTGCAGTGGGTCTGGACCCAGGGTCTCCACATCCCTCCTGCCCTCATTAATACCCTACTGAAGATGAATACCTGCTCGTTTGCTTTGGTGTGAGGATCTGGTCTGGTTCTTTCATCTGTAGCCCCAAGAAGGAGGTATTTTGGCAGTACCCCGATCCGTTCCAGCACCAATATTCCCCACTTCCACCTCTGCTTGAAGCTGGGCTGGTGTCACAGCACAGCCCTTGCCCATCTCTAGGGGCACTGTGCCCTGCAAGGATGTTTCCATGGTGAGCTGGAATCGGGGTGCAACACTGGTCTGACCTGTACCCGCGGTAGGCACAGGCAGGTATAGGGGGAAGGAGAGACCAGGACAGGGTAGAACCTGCTGTGTTTTGAGTCAGGCACCAGTGTTACTTATTTCCAGAGGAAAAATATCCTCTCTTAGCCATGGCCGTTGCACCCACAGCTTGCATTGAGGACCCCAAAACACCCTTGTGCCAGGCTGGGCACACAGAGGAGCCCGGCACACCTGGAATTGCCCATGGTGGAGCACAAGGACGGGCTCCACTGAGTGTGGCTGGAGGTCATGAGAGGAGAGGGTCCCTGGTCCCTAGGGTGACGAGCAGTCCCATGTCTGGGACCAAGCCACCCTGCAGAGCAGCTCTGCATTTACACCCCCTGCATATCCCTCCTCTCGCCCCCTTGCAGTACGGGCTCTTCCCGAGGCAGAGGAATTGTCTTTGCATTTTATCTTCCTCTCTGAGCTTTTCTGCCGCTATTTTGTCTAATGGTACCTGGATCCCATATAGACGTTTAGCTCACATGACCCCTGCAGCAGGCAGTCCCAAAGCTTCACTGCCTTTCACAAAAAGAACCTTGTCTTGCTTTTTTTGCACCCCCTCGCCATTTCATCTGGTGCCCCCAGTTCTTGCTCTGGAAGAAGCAAGGAACAGCTGCTCCCCATCCATCCCTATTCCACCAAACCCCACTTGGAGATCCCGATCCAGCCAGGCAAGCCCAGGTCTTGCCAAGGCATTGTCTTTCCAAATCCCTCATCCTGGGACTGAGGTGGGGGATCTCTCCTCCTTAGGGTATCTCCGCATCCCTTTCCTCTTCTCTATCCCCGCAGCCCCCACCCTGGTGTCCTGCTACCCCAACCCATGCAAGGAGGGCAGGGAGGTGTTGGAGGTGTAGCTGGGTGGGGTGGCAAGGCTCCATCCTGCCTGCCGCAGGGTGCAATGCTGCAGCACCCTGCAGCTCCCCGAGGAAACCTCCAGGGATCCAAAAAGGTCCTTCTCACGGCAGCGCAGCGTGCAGAATATGGCTGGGGCAGAGTCCGCAGTGCAGAGACAAAAGGGCTACCCCCAGTCCCAGCTTTGCCCCCACTCCCATCCCGAAAATAGGGCTCCCCTTGTCCCACTCAGAGCACCCCCTGGCCCCCATCTCCTTGCCAGACAGGTAAACTACACGGCCCAAACACCACACCACCGGCCCCGCAGCCGCCCAGTGAACCAGTGCTGCTGTGCTCCAGGCTGCTCCCTGGCCACCCTTTGGCTGATCCCCAGGACCTTGGATGGTTTTCCCTGGATGGATGGTTTTGGGTCCCAGTGATCCATCATGTCCCAGCCCACCCACACTCTGCCCGAGCCCCAGCCCTTCACCGGCAGCTCCCTCCCGGGTGGTGTCTCACCTCATTCCCCCACTCCTAAAAACGGGTCCCCCGAGCCCGGATTAGCCCCCACCTCTCTCCCCCAGCTCCCGGGCTGGCTGGTAGCTCCCTCCCCGTCGGATGTCCCTGGAGCACCAGGGGACCCGCCCAGCCCCATTGCGGGGCTCCGGGGGCGCTGGGCACCCCGCTGCTCTCCGACGGCGGCTCCCGGCCGTCGGGGCTCGGCCGCTTCCCCGGTGGGTTTTGGCGGCGGGATGCTCCCAGCCCGAGGGAGCGGGGCTCCGCGGTGGCCGTGTCCCGGCACACGGACGGGAAGGGCTCCCCGACGGCTGCGGGGCGGGAGAGGATGCCTGTGCCTCGGGGGAGACCCCGCTCCGGGCGGGCCGGGGGGAGCGGGACCGGTCCCGGTGAAGAAGCAGGGGTGCTCTTACCTTTCTGCACGCCCGGGCTGAGGGACCCCCACGCCTGGCTCTTGCCGTCTTTGAACAAAGTTTCCCCGACTGGATCTGGGGAGGGGAAAAAAGGGGCGCGGGTGGGGGGTGGAAGAGGGGGCTGGAGCCAGGCGGGACTGCGACCCCCCGGCGCCCACCCGCGGGCAGCCTCCCCGCAGCCCCCGGCCGCTCCCCCTCGCCTGCCCCGCCGCCGCGGCGAAGCCAGGAAACGCGTCCAGGAAAAAGGAAATCCGATTTCCGACCAAGCCGGGGAAGGTTTTAAATAGGAATAGAAAATCTCGCGGGCTGGGGTCGGGAGGAAAGAGGGAGAGAGAGAGCTGCGGGGCAGGGGGAGAGGAGACAGGTGGGGTGGAAGGATGGGGTGGCAGGAGCAATGGGTGGAAAAAAGGACGAGTGTTGGGGTTTGAGGAGGAGACGGCTGAGGAAAGAAGAGGTGGATGGATGGATGGACGGATGGAAGGAGAGATGGGCAAGTGGATGGAAGGACAGAAGGATGGATGGATGGAGGGATGGATGGACGGATGGATGGATGGATGGAGGGATGGAAGTATAAGAAGAAGAGAAGGAAGGGCAAGAGGTGGATGGGTGGAAGGAAGGGCAGATAATGGGTAAAACAGTGGAAGAACGGGCTGGTGGAAAGGACAGAGGGTAGATGGAAGGGACGGCTGGTAGCGGGGACAGAAAGAGGGACGGAAGGACAGGTGGGTGGGGTGGAAGGATGGATGGAAGCAAAGGGGATGGAGGGTGGGTGGAAGGATGGGCTGGAAGGACAGAAAGGTGGATGGAGGGATGGAAGGACAGGGGGGTGGCAGGTGGATGAAGGATGGAAGGGAGGACGAGCGTGCGGGCGTGGAAGGTGGCAAGAGCAGCTGGAAGGAAGGAGGAAGGGATGGTTGGGGGGCTGGAAGGCAGGAAGGGAGGACGGATGGAGGGAGAGGGGAAGGCAGGGTGGGCGCTGGAGGGAGACGGGACAGAGAAGGGCCCCAGGCGGCGGCGGGGCAGGGC